TGGGTGGGGGGTGGGCGGGGTGGGGCTCACTTGGTGGCACCCGGGCAGCAGCTCACGGACCCCAGCTGGCTCATGGTGTCCTTATTGGCAGCCAGCGATGGGGAGGGCGGACCTCAGTGTGGCCGGAGTCTGGGGTTCAGTTCTTGGCCTGTACCTGAGTGGACAGAGGAGCCGAGCTGACACCCCCTCCTGGCCTAGCCAGTGGCCTCGGTACTCCAAGGTCAGGGCCTGGGTTTCTTCCTCCTCCCACCCCAGACCCAGGAGCTGGAGCCCACTAACCCGGCCAGATTCCTCAGGGTGCCTGGGCAGGGGGCCATCAGGGAGCAGAGACCCCTGCCCTGTGTCCCAAGTGAGGCCCCATCATGCCCCAGACCCTAAGCCCCTTGTAGGGACCCCCAGAGGCTGTCTACGGGAGGAAGTGCAAACAGAGGGCATAGAATGTTCAATGGCCCTGAGGCGGGTGGGGCACAGAGCCCACAGCGAAAATTGGTCTCAGCCCACCACTCCTACTCCACCCCAGGACTACGCCCCAAGGGGCTCCTGCTCACATATGAACAAGTGGCCACGCGTGCCAGCCCCCTTCAGACCCCAGTAAGGAGGCCAGCTGCTGGCTCCCTCTTGGGCCTGGGAGGCCTGAGCAGGCAAGAGGCCGCGAGGGCAGGAATCCTGGGGTCCTGCGTACCCGAAGGCAGTCTGGGCGGTGCAGTCTCTCCTCTTCCTGACGGAGGAGTATGGCCAGGCAGCCCAGAACAGGACCTTTGGCAGCAGGGGCCGGGTGCAAGGGAGGTGTTGGGTGGGTGGGTGTGAGGTGGGGGCTCAAAGGAGTCTCCCTGAGGCTGGGAGCCCAAACCAGAGGCACCAGCACTTGGCACTACTGACGAGAGGGTGGCCAACAGGGGGGGATGACCGCTCTCCTGCGCAAGGCCTCTCCTGGGGCAGAATCCCTAGAGACTTTCTCTGGCCCCAGCCCTCATCTCTCCCCAGCTGCATTGTGGAGAACCTGAGGCCTGGCTGCTGGAGTGGACAGTGTCTGATTTGGTCTGGACCCTGGTACCTTCCCTGGAGTGAGGGTGAGAGCTTAGTGCCCCTGGGCCAGGCTGACTTGTTCAGTGCGGGCTTTGTCCCATGGGGACCTCCAGTGCTGGCCTGCCCCATGTCCCTGGAAGGGCAGGTAGACAGGCATCCTGGCTGTCCTGTGGCTCTGCGGCCAGCTCCCCAAGGGGAATCCATGGGGCTCTGGATCCACCCAGTCTGCCTCCTGCCAAATGTCACCAGCAAGGCCTTCCTGCTGAGGCTTTAGTGTCTGGGTCTGCCAGGGTGGGGGTCACCAGCCAGGTCTGCTAGTATGGACGGAGAAGGAGCAGGCCTGAGGCACCCAAGGACTTTCTGGTTTGACCAGCTCCTGCCTAGAGGGAGGGCTCCTGGGAAGCGTGAGGGGCATGGCCACTGCTGCCACCCCTTCCACATGCCACCACGGGTCCTAGCTCCCGAGAGGAGCCTGGCCAGATCCCTCAGTCCATCTATCCATGGAGAATGTGTGGAATGTTTGTGACCTCAGTGGGTGAGTCTGAGTGTTTGCTTAATGGGATTCCTGGCGGGCTCAGCCAAGGGTGCCAGCACGTGTACCCAGGAACACACACACCTGGGCGAAACACAAACCTGTCCTTGCAGACCCAGGCCTGCGGGCACACACAGACACACACAGGTTGTGACACGTGGCCCTTCCCCTTGGAGAAGCCTAGGCTAAAAACACTGTGGCCTTCAGCCACCTGGGGCAGGGTGGGGGGGCCTCAGGCCCAGGCAGGGGCCAGGCAGGGGTTGTTCAGGCACAGGCATCTGGGTCATGGAGTGCCTGGGGAAGGGGCCACCTGCAGGCCCTTGGGAGGCCACTCCCACGGGGGCTTTTCAGCAGACTGGAGCAGGACACTATGTAACCACTGGGCCATGGGGTTGGGCTGCCTGACCCAGGCGTCCAAGGGCTTTGAAGGCACTAGCTGCACTTTTTTTTTTTTTTTTTAAAGATGACTGGTAAGGGGATCTTAACTCTTGACTTGGTGCTGTCAGCACCACGCTCTCCAAAGTGAGCAAACCGGCCATCCCTAAATAGGGATCTGAACCCGTGGCCTTGGTGTTATCAGCACCACACTCTCCTGAGTGAGCCATGGGTCAGCCCTGCACTTTGGTTTTACTGAGGTCATTTTCTGGGTGTGAAGGGAGGTCTGAGCTTGGCGCCTGGTTGTTCAGCGGGTCACGGGGCAGTGCAGGGGGAAGAGGCCCCAGCAGGGCAGGCAGGGCAGAGAGACTGGCTCCCAGTGCAAATTCCACCTCCACACACCGAGTGACCTCGGTGAGGCACAGCTTAGTCACAGGACTCTTGGCTGCCCTTGTGGGAGCAGGGTGGGGCCCTGAATTGGGGAGACCCCCTCAGGCTCTGGTTGTGACCTAGTCTGGGAGTTGTGGTCTGGGGGAAAGCCCCGTCCCTGTCCCCGTAGCAGGGAGGGATAAACCTGGGAAGCTGCGGTGGGGAGTAGGTAGGTGTGCTTGGGGAGACCAAGGCAGGCAGAGAGGGCCAAAAAGGGCTGGGCTCACAAGGCGTGGGTTCTAGGCAGGGCCCAGGAAAGATCTGGGCACAGGGTGGGAGGGGGCAGGGCTGCACACAGGGGTGGGGACAGAGGTGGTCTGCCCTGTCACCAGGGACACCCCATGCAAAGGGGCAGCCCCGGCCAGCCTGGCACAGGGACCGGGAACCTGGCTGGCTGCAGGCTGGAGGCCCCAGGCCTCTACCAGCCCACCTCCTGGATCTGGCCCGAGCAGGGCTCCTGCAGCCCCACCCCTGGCCTCCCTCTCACCAGCCTGATGCCTGCCTGGCCCTGCATTTCCTTCTGGGCTCGGACTCCCAGGAAGTGCCTCCTGAGTTGTGACCTACAGAGAGTCGGCTCGCTGCGCACATCTCCAGGGTCAGGTCCTCAGGAGGCCACAGCCTGTCCCCGGGGGTGGGGGGCACCCCCTCACCACCTCTGGAAGCCCCAGGGCTGGGAGGGGGCCGGCCGGAGCGGGTGAGTCATGGACCTCTGCTTTAAAAATACCCCACAGACCCCGCCGCCCGGGACCGACAGGGCAGGCGGGGCGCAGCGGGACCGGTCCTCGGCCTGGCCCCAGCGGAGGCAGCGGCCCCGCGCCCCGCGCCCGGCCCCGGAGCCCCAGCCCAGAATCCGGCGTCCCATCGCCACCTGGGGAAACCTAGGCCCGGGCGGGCGAG